GTGGCAGAGGCTGTTGCCCGTGATATTGGTGTTTCTCCAGCCACGCATGTAAGGGGTTAACCTGGGCAGCAGTTGCGCAATCCCAGCACACGACATCTCTGAACGTGTTTATAAAGCAGATGTGGGGAAACTGACTAAACCGCCGAAGGGCAGTGTGCTTACAGGAACAGAAGCACACACACTGCGTTTCTTCTGAAGAAACTTGGTCAGATTCCAGAACATGTTCTTTTCAGACTACGTGAACTCCAAAATGTGCTACATCTTGGTCCTCCCACAGCACAACTCAGGTTCTTGGACAGACTTCACATTTTTGCTAAAACCAGCTATTAGTCCTGACCACTTCCTTCCTTCCAGGCGCTATTTTCGGAAGCAGAGACACAGTGCCTCTGCACCTGTTGTTCCCGTGGCCACAGAAGAAAACCTCTACAAAACCCTCATTTGTCTGCACAGCAGGACCGGTGATGCCCAGGCCCAGAGAATGGGGATGGTACCAGTGTCCCAAGGCGCCAGTGAGGACCAGAGGCCAGGCAGCCTCAGGAAAAAGCATCTCCCCCCACACCTATCAACTTCCTGCATCTCTTGACCTGAAGCTTCACACAGCCAGGCTCTCCTCCCCAGGCCTGTGGTTGGACACATTCCTAAGGGGGCAAAGAAAAGGTCCCAGCCCTGTTCTCTTGATACCGGGATGGTGGGGTTCAGGGGAGGAGGAGATCCTGGGATGACAGCCTAGTAGTACCCAGCCTTGATTCATATATTGAGGTGCAAATGAGATGGAGAAACAGCCTTAAGAAGCTGACAGTGTCCTGGGAGGCAGAAACACCCAACTGGAATCCCCTTGGGAGGGGTCCACTGCAGCCTGGGGACAGGGGGAAGTCAGGGTCACGTCTTACAGTCTCTGATCACACTGGCCCCAGGATGGCTCCAGGATGGAGTTTCAGGGTGAAGTAGGTGGCTGAACAGCACCACGTAAAAACCAGTTTCTGCTCCAAACCGACACTGGCACTCAGACATTAGCTGTTTGACCCCCGATTGCCAGGAACTCTCCTTGGCTACCTGTGTGTAAACCTTTCCCTAGCTTTTGTCTTTTATCAAGAGAAATCTGGTAGAATAGTGGGGTTCTTTTTTTTTTTTTTTCACCTTTTATCTGGTCTTATTTGTCCAAAGCTACAATAGCAGGGGACTTTTAAAACCTAATGAATTCAAGGTTACGGAGTGGCCTCAAAGAGAAGCAAAGTCTCACGTTCCCTCTCTCTGCATTAGGAGCAGGAGGCCATTTGTGGCTTACCGCCTTTTCATTCACGTGCAAAATACTTCCAAAGGCACAAGCTTGAAATCTCAGACTCCTGAAACCAAGTCACTCATCTTCTTCACCTCTAAAAGCTCTGTCTCAGTAGTGGTTACACGATAGGATGGTACACTTTGCATTTGGGTGTGGAAAGGATATTGTTTTAGGGTTTCGATGTCTAAAGAATTTGTATTCCATAGCCATGTATATTTCTTCTTTTTTACAAATCCTTTTAAACAGACTAAATACCACTTTGGCAGTGGTTCATCAAAACACGGACAAAACAGTACGGCTGAGGGTGGATTTATTTAGGTATGCAAATGGCATTCCAGAAGCCCCTTTCGTCAAGGTGTGTGAATGTGCTGGGTGCTTGCAACCTCAAGGCGGGGCAGAAGTACCTGTCCCTGAATTCACAGTGCACAGCTGTGCAGTGAGCCTGTTATCAGGGGCATGACCCGGGTACTGGCTGCAGAGAATGGAAACTATTATTTCGAAGGCAGTTACACTGAACTTGAACTTGCCATTAAATGCACACATGCACACTCACACCCCCAAGCCCATCATAAAAGCGTATCAGTTCACACAAACACCAACCAAAAGCATGTGTCCCTGGCGCTTCCTCTAAGTGACGACAAGGTCAGAGACTTGAGTCCATGAGCTGCCCCATCACCTTTGCTTTTTCCCTCATGTCAAGCACAGGCATCCTGAGACTAGCTTGTTTTCCTGCATTGCTGGCAAGTATCGCTTAGAAACAATACAGGCTTTCTCAGAAGTATTTTAAACATGATTCTGTTTTCATGGCCTTACTAGCAATGGAATATCGTCTCTGGTACTTAAACGGTGCATTTCAAAATCTTGAATTTCCTTCCACGTGATGGGATTCTGGAAGTCTGATTATACGACAGAAGCGGGGGAGGGCAGCGGGATTGGCATTTGGGACCCGCGATGCAGGAAGAAGCCTGGAGCCTGTGCTAGGAGGAAGGAAGGGGGAGGAGGCCTGAGCTCCCCTAAACCCTCTGATAACCAGGACATGGACTCAGGGCGACCTTCCGTCACTGCTTTGTTATTTAAAAACAGATGACTCAGTAAAAGGTTTTAGATAGAAGTCTCAAAGAACTGAACTCCTCCACTTAGGACCTAGGGGAAGAGCAGGTCTTAACTGAAAAGCAGGGTGCCAAGGAGCCAGGGAGCACCCCTTTCCTCCCAACAACTCCCCTTCCACGAAGAAACTGGGCCAGCCAGCCAAGGGAGGCCTCCTCCCAGGAGCAGCCCTGCCTCCGCGGGCCGCATTTCCACAGGAAAATGCTTCAGTTGATTTCCATGCAGGGTTGGATAACTTTATGACCGTTAATTTTATCTGCAGCCACACGTGGAGATAGGCATAAAAATAGCCCTTTGTCCTTTCATTCAAGGAACCTCTTCAAATATTAACTTAGCAATCTCTTCCACAACGCCCCAGAGGGAGTAGGCGGGCAGCTAAGTTTTCATATTCTGATTTTACAGAATAAGATATCGGGGATACAGGGGAGGTCAGTGCTGCACTTTCTCAAGGTCAAGTCCACACCTTCCATACCAAGCGGATGAGAAAGACTGGTGCTCCTGGAATCACCCCTTTTATTCCACAAGACAGACCCCAAGTTTTGAGGGCAGGGCCTATGTGCAAGGCCTCAGGTCCTAGAAAGAAGAGTGATGGACATAGAATCGGAACCCAACACATATTTCCTGTTATGGAAAATGCCTTATCCATGCACCCCTCTATGTGACATAAACACAGAACGTCAGTCGCACGTGTAAACCTAAGGATGAACGCAGGAAAGATGTGGAGGGGCGTGACCCTTACAGCAGAGAAGGAAAACAGTGGAGTGGCTCAAATACTCCCTCCTCCACAGGGAATGCTCCCAAGCAAAGGAATGCCGATGTTTGCATATGCTTACAAGAGAAACAGACCCCTTCACAGCACAGAGACCTGGGCTCAACCTGTGCCCTTGCTTCTTGGTGCCTCTGTGAGCTGAGTAAAGGCCTCTTCACGTTAAGTCTTCATTTCCTCCACATGGAATGGAAATGGATGCCCGTTCCATAGCACCGCCGTGATGAATGAAGAAGGGAACTCATGCAAAACACTCAGCACAGGCCCTGCTCAGGCGAGCACTCAAGAGAAGCCTCATCTGCAGCCTCGCGGTAGGAACCTCCAGGGTTTCTTGTGGTCAACAAGGGAAAACGTTTTGGTCCCCAGGAAGCAACAATACTTTGTCAGTCCTATTCCGTGATTGGGCTCTTTTAAAGCAGACACAGACAAAGCCAGGAGTGATGCCCATTAAAAATTTAACTATATATCATATTCATTTATTATCAATCCACAGGATAATCTGATTGCTACATGAGCTCATAAAAGCTTTTTTCACCTTTACAAAATTAAAAAAAAAAAAATGTGCCACAAGGATGTAATAACAACTGCTGATAAACAAGAAAAGGAATCTTAAAATTATAAATTTGCTGTAGAAAAGATAAAAAACAATTATATTTTATTTAGAATTTTACCTTGAATAAAATATTCCCCTGTATAAAAAATAAAAAAGCTTGTTCTGGTTAGAATTAGAGTATTTTTGTCTTCAAATCTGGGAATTTGCATAATATTTCCATGATAGTTTTTTCCTTTGTACCGCGTGGCATTCAAGCATAGCAGATTAGAAGGATTTTTTTTAAAGCAGTCTTAAAATGGGACATCTGTAGAGAAGTTCATTTCCTTCTTCTCCTCCGGATGTGGAATGGAAGCTTTGAGGGAAGGGAAAGTAGGAAAAGAGCAAGATGGGAAGGGATGGGA